CCATCTCACGTAATAAATCAGTGAACTGCACAAAATAGTGTAGAAACATGACGTGTGCCCAATACAACCCTTCTCAGCCGGCAGTCCCTATATATAAGAGTAGCACTATTGTAGGCCTCAACATTGAGATTGCATGAAGATTTTAACACTAATATCACAGGAGGGGGGGGGGCGTTGATCCAGCACTTCGATACTTTCGGGTATTAAATTGAGTCGGGGGAGAGAGAGAGAGAGAGAGAGAGAGAGAGAGAGAGAGAGAGAGAGAACCGCACACTTTCAAAAGAAAAAAAAAGTATCAAAGCCACGCACTATCAGATCTGCGCACTTTTTAAAGATATCGATACAAAATAATTACCAACATCATCCAAGGTTTACATTCTTTTTTACTCCACATTGCTTCCATAAAATTAAGTGTCACGGAAACTACTTACCAGATGAGTCAATTAACAAAGTGATTGACTTGTATTTGTATAATATAAAAAATAAAATGTGTTTACCAATAAAAGACATATTTATGTCTTGCATTGAAATGGCTAAATCATTTCATTTTCTTTCCTAGAGCCATAACTATGCAGCGACAGTGCCAAAAATGGTTGTAACACTGTCAAGTGGTGAGTTGTCACACGACGACACAGTAAGAAACCTAATGCAGCCTTTCTTAAATTGATATAATATGCTGGTTCGAACTCCAGCAAAACGCAGAGGAGAATGTAACTGCTGGATGGTGTTGGTAAATCAAATTGTATCGACATCGTTAAAATGCTCGCGGCCTTGACACTTTTTTTTAAAGTGCGCGGTTCTGATAGCTTCCCAGACCGAAACATATGTCTGTTGTGTAATGTTTATATGCTCCTCGCCGCTGCACGCAGATGCCCAGGGAAGGACATTTGAACCTTGGAGAAGTTAATTTTTCGAGTCTCTCAGTCTGTTTGCTTGAATGTAAATATATTCCATCGAACCGCGTTGATGCTGTCTGTCAAGCTCGATGAATGAAAAATATCCCGCCCGTCAAAACCGGTGTAGATTCCTTTGAATTAATGTTCAAGAGCAGATATCGGGCCGATCGCCCGACTCGATCGTCTGAAAAGTTTGATTTTTAAACGGGGTGCCCACTAGGGCGGGCCGATCGCCCGACTCGATCACCTCAAAAACAAACGGGTTTGTTTTCAGTTTCAGGCGATCGAGTCGGGCGATCGGCGCGATCCAGCCGTAGTGGGCACCCCGTATAATTTAGGCGATCGAGTCGAGCGATTGACCCGATCGGCCGATTCCATCCGGAGTGGGCACCCCGTGTAAGCTGCACCTAAGCCTTTTAAAACAGCCGTGTGAGTGAGGGGTGCTTAATAATATGGTGCGGATGGTCGAATTCGAATGAGGCGTTACTGAATTTGGTTGTTGTTGTTTGTTTTTTTTGTTTGTTTTTGTTTGTTGTTGTTTTTTTTTTGTTTTTTTTGGGGGGGTGTGGGTTCGAGGTTCTGTATCCTTTTGGTTTAGTCGAATCGGAGATAGACGTTAAATTCAGCGGAGGCCCTGCCTCTTGAATAACGTGACATTGTTGAATATACAATTTTCAGGTAGCAGGTGGTAAGAGTTGGCGACGAGTGAACACAAAGCAATGTCTCGTACCTTGCGCCAATATAACTGTATGTCTTTATTATGTCAAGACAGCATTGCTCGTATCAAGTAGGCTCTGTTGTCTGTTCGGGGCATTTGATTCTTCTGTACAAATCACGAAAGGGCACGCACGTAAACCTTTTGTGTTTACATTAAATTTCAGGATAGAAGGATTGTATAAAACCTTACTGAACAAAAATTCATAAGAAGCATGTTGTGCTTAATGCCGACCGCAGGTTCATATGACCTTATGCAGTTTTGAGCGCCTTAAAACACTTACCAACAAAAAAAAATTTTTTTTTAATAAATAAGAAGCATGCCGCGCCCGCAAAAATAAGTTTACGTAAGATCTATGGAAAGTCGCACAAATAAGCACATGTATGATAGTTTATTTCACTAGAATGAATTTTACTCTCATGCACACGCACCCACGCACACATATTGTTAATATTATAATGAATGAAAGACATGAAGGAATTGTAGAAAGAAAGAAGGCCTACAATAAGATGAATTAATCTTTTTTTAAACGCAGGAATAGCAATTAGGAGGCGGGCTGTCAGAGCCAACCCGGGCTGAGTGGGATACAGTATCCCAGCAGAAAGACCGAGATATTCGATACCACTCGAGGAGGGAAAAGGGGGGAGGGGGCAGAAAGTGAAAATGAAAGCAGATGACAGGACCTGATTACAGAGCAGGATAGGAAGTGACAGAACATTTTTAGAGAAGAAAATTTTCCGACGCCGCCATGTTTCGAACCCGGGACGGACTTATTGAATGAGAAGCGAATATCGTACCCCTGGACCACGAGAGCCCCCTGTTTGTGAGCTGGGTTATCGTGATTTTCTCAAGGACACACCGCAGTAACCACCCCCTAAACGCTCTGTCACCGACACTCACTGGACTTGCTTTTGTCAGTGCTGTTCGAAATTCTACCATACGGAACAGTGGACACTAATATTTTTGTAAAGTGAAATTGGAAGGCAATGGCCCAGTTCTGGAGTACTCCATAAAGAATAATAACAACCAAAACCTACAATGTTATCAATTCTTAAGCTCTATATCATGAAAATTCGGCCCGTCATACTCTTAGGGATATTGAACGCAATCTTTGTTAAAATTTTGAAAGCGGAAGCGTGCAGTTTCTTCTCAAACGTAACGCAAAGATCGTTACCATCAGAATTATCCTATATCATTTATTAAAAAGATAAGGTTTCTTCCTTCTGTGTATATTGTTTACGTTGCTCAGAACGTTTCTACCTAGTTTTGCCAAGAGAGCATACGCCAATTCATGTGTCTCATATTTTTCACACTAGTTCGGTTGCATCAACCCTCTGCTGGCAAAGAACATGTGCTATCTTTCGGAGATGTTTTTAATCAAGGTTTAGAAATGAAATCCTTAGTACTGTGTGTGTGTGTGTGTGCGCGCGCGCGCGCGTGTGCGTGCGTGCGTGCGTGCGTGCGTGCGTGCGTGTGTGTGTGTGTGTGTGTGTGCGTGCGTGTATGTGTGTGCGTGTGCGTGTCCGTGCCTGTGTGTGTGTGTGTGTGTGCGCCTGTGTGTCTGCGTGCCTGCCTGCGTGCGTGCCTTTCTGTCTGCCTGCCTGCCTGCCTGCCTGTCTATGTGTGCGTGCGTGTGTGCTCGAGATTTTTTCTTCTCTTTTCTTGGGCGGAAGGTGGGGGGTGGGCACAACATACTTTGGGCTCGAACATTACCATTGTTTCCGCATTGTTTTCGGTTTTTACCTCCCCAAATATTTTTGTAGTAGACTATTTCCTCTCCCCGAGAGTTTTCTCATTTCCTTGCTTGTTCTGGCTAACAGACACTACTCACTACTCACTTCTTTCCGTTGAAATGTTTTAAAAATTGTCTGTCGTCTTGCCCTCTAATGACACAACCACCACCGTGTTGCAATGTTCTAAACCCAGGTTTTAACTCTTGGAACTCTCCACTTTCGTTAGCGACATCATTATACGTAGTGGAAATGTCAAATAGAATAAACTGGACATTTATTTTATTTTGACTCAACATTCACAAAAATAGCAAGATCGGAACGTCGCAGGTGAATCCTTGATAATGGATGGTCTTTTCCTTTCTGTGATTACTCAGTTGTTGTTCCTTTTGTTGTCGTTGGTTTTTGTGGGGGGTTTTGTTTTGTTGGTCGTGGTTTTGTTTGTTTGTTTGTTTGTTGTTGTGTTTGTTTGTTTGTTTGTTTGTTTGTTTGTTTGTTTGTTTTGAGGGGGTATTTAATATGTTTTTATAACTGCGTTTTGAATGCAATCCCAAGTAGACTACGCTGCTGATGCTGCTGGTACTGATCACAACTTTGGATTCATTCTTTTAGGAAATTAAGCACCCCTGTAGGTATGGCCATTCTAAAGTTTGCTGGACGAGTATCCGCCCCTCTTGTTTTAGTGACGTGATCCCTGCACAGCACGTTCTTGTGTTTGTCTAGCGACTTACAGCTTGAAGGTCGAGGACCGGAGACTTTTTAGTCGCTGTTTGCAGTTCATAGTCGGTGGTCCTTTGCCCATCTCGGTGCTCCTTTTCAACCCCAGGAGAACAAGACTGGACACCGATGTCCGTGTATGGACACTTTCTATGTCATTCCAATGTTCAAAAATTGGCAAAATGCAGAATGGTCCTCTTGTGCTTAAAAATTGTCCATCTTTTATTCTGTTTTGTTACTAAACGCCGTCCATTTAAACGATAAACGGCTATGTTTTAGAATAACTCTTGATTCTCAATGAGTTGGACTTTGAGAATTTCTTACTAAGATAATGTCAATTTACCTTGTTTATGTATTTTTGTTTCGAAGTTGAAGTGTCCTATCAAAAGGCAACGGAGGACTCTAAGAATATTTCAGTACCGGGGAAAAGAGGGACTGAAACGATTTCAAAAGAAGGATGGTTAAGAAGTAAAACAGTCTAGCAGCTCCC